GCTCAGCTGGGAGAGTCCAAGAAGACGTGGTCTGCAAACCAGGAATTCATAGTCACACGAGAGAAACTGATCCCCAGATGAACCGATCAGAGGCACCGGGAGGCCGCCAGTCCAGGCTCCACTTCTACGCCGAGAAGCACCGCAGGGTCGCCCTTGTAAGACACAGTGGGGACACAGCAGCTGGGTTTATTAAGTTGGGCAGAGGAGGGGTGTGTGGAGACAACAGGAAAACGACCAACCGAAGGTGTGCGCCCTGGAGTGGGCAGGGCACAAGGGAAAGACCACGGGCAGAAGCTGCCTCTTAGGAAGCAGAGGAAAGCAAAGGCAAGTCACAGCCAGCCCCTGGAGGCCAGACTGAGGAAGACATAACGTGCTGCAGCTTTGAAAGGGTGGGAAGTCACAGCAGGCTCTTGAGCAGGAAAGAAGTCCCCGTCTCAGGAAACTTAAATTTTATTTTAGCAGCGGAAGGCAGGGTGATCAGATGGCAGGAAGATTTATTCCTTACCAGGCAGAGAGGCCTGCCCGAAAGCCCTCCAGCCACAAAACACCTCTGGGACTCAAAGCATTCTGCGAGCAGGTTGTACATCCAGTGAGCTTTACCCTTATGCTAATGCCACTCTAGAAGGCTGAATAAGACCAGCACTGAGGCTGAGGCAGGAGGAACTAAGATTGCTGGATTGCTTGTCAGCTCTCGCCTCTGGTGCAGATACATGGAGGAGCTGGGAACACCTGGGGGGTGAAAAAGGAAACCAATGGGGGGGGACTGGTCCATGTAACTGGAGCCCAGCAAGGCCCTGTTCTCCCACCCGAAAGGGAGTACCCCTGGATTCAGAAAACACCAAGAAAAGCTGGCCAGGAAGAATGTTTTATTTACCAGGCATGTTTTAAGTGAAGTATTTTTAAAATCTCTCCTCATGGTTTAGTTCCTCTTTGCTTCAGCTCCAAAGAACAACAATCTATAGTTCACAGCCTCTTCCTGACATCTGTTCTGCTCACAGTGCTTGTAGTAGAACACGGCAGTTAAGCATCATTTTTCCTGCAGATATGCGAAGTAGCACTGAGGTCTCAGAAGAGAGCCTTCAGGTGTGGGAGGCGGGGAGAGGATGGTTCTAGGCTCTCAGGAAGCGCTCAGACTGTGTTCTCATAGTCAGACACACTTGAAGCGTCAAGACTTGGGGTCCACTTTGTTGTCTCCCTTAGTAGGGAAATGAAGACGATGTCATCGTGGTTTTCTGTGGGCAGCCCTGGAGGGCTGTGATTCAGCACGTGACTAAGGCCCCCGCATCACAGAATCCAGACTGAAGCTCCGCCAAGCGAGCCGTGTGGAGGAACTCTTCAACAATTCCTGGCAGGGCCACGTTTCAAGCAGCAGCAGCCAGGAGAGGGTAAAATAACAGTGGCAGCAATGTGGGGCAATGCCTGTCCCTTCTCACCATGATCTTTCCTGTCCTAAGAGCAACAGGATGCTATGGTCTGAATAGCTAGCTGTACTCCCCGCAAATTCATGATAAAACCATTAGGAGAAGGTGATTGGGTCATAAGCATAGAGCCCAAGCAGAGGGACTGATGTCCTCACAGACACGAGAGACTCCTCCCTCCCTCCGGCACATGAAGACAGGCGAGGCAGTACCACCCCTGAGGAGGCGTGCTCACCTCAGACACCAGGTCCCCAGGCATCTGAATCCTCTACTTCCCAACCTCAAGCTGGAAACACATTTCTGGTGTCTGCATGTCACCTGGTCTATGGTATTTTTATTATATGAGCAACAGACTTACAACACAGGAGGAATAGAAAGCAGAGAGTGACGCCCTCCCCAAGCCTTTACTGTATAGTGAGTTCAAGGCCAGCCTAGCCTACACAGCAAGAGTTGGTCTCAAAAAAAAATAAACAACAGACAAACAAAAGAACATCAATCTTTCTTTTTTCTTTTCTGAGCAAAAGCCTTGGTACATAGTCCAGGCTGAGTTCAAATTCATGGTAATCCTTCTGCCTCAGCCTCCTGAATGCTGGGATTACAGGCCAGCTAGAACTACAGATTTTGGCTAACTGAATCTCTGTGGAAGTCATCTTATTCAATAAATTTACTATAAAGTAAAAAAAAAAAAAAATCAAAAGACCAATAGCATACGGGGGCTGGTGAGATGGCTCAGTGGTCTCAAGCACCTACTTAGAACAAGCTAAGCTAAGCAAAAAGGACAGCGACCGCAGTTCAATCCCCAGCACCACATGCCAGCCAGCCCGCCCCCTGGTGGGCTGAGCTGGCCACACACACACACACACACACACACACACACACACTAAATAAAAATATTAAAAAAAAAAAAAAAAAAGACCAATAGCATACCATTCATTGCATGGCCAGCAACTTAGCAAAGATGGAAAACAAAATAGCGCGCAGTACTGATGACAGTGTAATCACACGAATCTCTCCACAAATTTCTGGCAGCACTATAAGTTGGTCAAGATCTCCTTGGGCAGTGCCTCTCAGACTTTAACACAGACACAAGATGCCCGGGGATCTTGCTAACCTGCAAACACTGATTCAATAGGTTTAGGGTCAGGCCTCAGACCCTGTACTTCTCGTGAGACACAAGGTGATCCTGATGAGCCCTCTAAGGGTCACTCTGAGCAGCAACGTCCCAGACAAGCTTTAGGAATGTGTATTAAAAGCTTAAAAGTCTTCATATCTTCATATTTTTGGACCCAGAAATTCCATACTAAGGAATATACTCTAAAGACCAATAAGGAATGCATAAAAAGAAGAGACACACGAGGATGTTTATAACAATATCTACAGTGAAAAACATACAAACACATACATATCTAAAAATTTGGATTTTTTTTTTTTTTTTTTTGGTGGCAGGCTCAGCGTACCTTGGGGCCGGGGCTGGCACAGCATGTGGTACTGGGGATCAAACTGCGATCCCTGTACTTTGCCTAAGCTTGCCTAGGCGGGTGCTTTAGACCACTGAGCTATCTCACCAGCCTCAAAATTTCTAAATAAATCAGAGTAAAGTCGACTAGTGAAAAGATAATAGAGTAAGCCTCCTCTGACTTACGAGTGAGTTACATTCCAGTAGAACATCTGTAAGTTGGATGTTTGTGATCTGCCAAGTGAGTATTGTACAGTGCACCTCTGAATCTAACACAGCGCATGTGTGAAAGTTTGCAATTCAAATGTTTGTAAGTTGGCACTTACTATATGCTCATTAAATAGGAAGTTTTTAAAGGATATCTGTTGCTGTAAGAAAATGTTCATAATGAGCAAAGTCAACCTGTCAGAATACAAGATAAGGCAACAATATATCATGCTCAGTTTTGTGGTCGCCTAGGCTATGCCACTGTTCCCATATTTTTGTTTGTTTGTTTGTTTGTTTGTTGGGGGTTTGGGGCAGTTTTGAGACAGCGTCTCATTATGTAGGCTGGCCTTGAACTCATGATTCTCCTACCTCAGACTTCTGAGTGCTAAGACTGCAGTCTATGACTGGCCAAGTATCCAGTCACAATCAGACACTAACCTAGATATTGTTGTGGAGGCATTTTGTGGCTGTGATTAATATCAATTGACTTTAACTAAGGGAGATAACATTCTACATGGAAGACAGACCTCATCCAATCAACCAGTTGGAGGCCTTAAGAGAAAAAGCAGGTTTCTCACCTTGCCTCAAGACTCCAGCAGACTCCTGCCTGTGCTGTGTGTGCTTCAGGCCTGGGAGACTGCCCGACAGATTCCGGATTTACCTACCTCACAATCATCTGCACTGTCTCAGTTACTGTTCTCTCGTTGCTAAGACAAATACCCAATAACCAAAATGAAGGAAGGAGAGGTTTACTCAGCTCTCAGTTACTGCAAGTTTCGGTCCATACTCAGCTGGCTCCAAGGCAGAGCAGCACATGGCAGAGGGCAGCCTGTCATGGTGGCAGCAATGGGCAGAGAGCGAAGGGAGTGGTAGCAACAGTGGCAACAGAGAGCAAGTCTGTCTCCCCTAGGTTGCATTCAGACTGTCTGCCCCGGCGGGGTGCAGTCCTCACACCCATAATCCCAGCAGTCCTCACACCCGTAATCCCAGTAACACTCACACCCAGAGTCCCAGTGGACCATGAGTTAATCATAAACTCTAGAAGTCCACCCCATGACTTTACATGAGGCTTTGGAGGGACGACTAGACACAAACCATAACATGCGCCAACTTCTTAAAATAAGTCTGTTCTTAAGAATTCCCCTATTGGTTCTATTTCTCTGGAGAATCCAAATGGATATACGACACAATCCTAATTTTGCAGAGAAAAAAAAGCTAAAAAAGAGAGTATCTATAAATAACACTGAAAAAGCTCTAAGGAGCATAAGTATGGCTCTAATTATAGCATTAACATATTAGATGTATGAGAAATGCGAAAACAACTAAATAATAACAGCATAAAAGCTACAATTTAATTTAATACTTGTCTTAAGGTTGTTTTTTTTTCTCCTGAATTTCCTCTTGGGAGGATGTTGAGTTTGAGGCCAACGTGGGCTACACTGTGAGACGTATGTGCTCCATTTGTAATCTGTAAAAATGTAATTATAATGTGATTTACATTCAATGCAATTTCAGTGTCCATTAAAAGGTATATCATGCAATTTCAGACAACCTGAGAAAGAGAATGCTTGCTTTCCCCTCTCCTGCTACAAATTTATTCTGGCCTTTCCTATAGAGCTGTCCCAGTTCTATTATACTTCCTCAAATATTCCTCAATCTCTGTCTGTCTGTCTCTCCCTCATCCTGCCTCTTCTTTCTTTCCAAAAGGAAAAACCATCCTCTCGCTGAGGAAAAAACAAGTAGGTGGGTAAGGCAAATATTTATTATCCCTCTTTATAAATGAGGAAACTGAGGCTAATAAGGTTTAAGTGAGAGGCGCCAGGGATACCCAGCTGGTAGTTGACAGAGCCCAAATTCCTTCCTTTGTAAACTGCAAAACTAGACACATGCGAGTGGTTTTCATTACTGTTCCCGTACAGGCTGTGGGAGAACCATGTCAATCACATTACAGGGTCTACTCTGCAGCCTCCTCCAGCGACTGCAGACAATGGGTCATTAAGTTCCAGAAAGGACGAGGATGGCCAGGGTCAGGTGCCAGGACCACAGGCGCTCTGGGCTCTGCCACGTGTCCGAAGCACCCTGGCGAGGCTCCTGATGACTCAAGCTCCACAGCTGGAAGTGAGCAGGACCACCCGTGCTGCCCCAGTGGAGCCAAATCAGTGCACGCTTTCCACTCTCAGCAGCCTCTCCAGTCCCCACCTCATCGTCAGCCCAAGGCTCCGGCCAGCTGCCATCCCATGCCAGCGATAGATGGCCCAATGGTGGAAGACTCAGGAACGCCCACTGCTGGCCACCTTGAGTTCTGCCACTGGGGACCAGAGGATCAGGCTCAGGACCAAGGACTTTCTTCACTCCTCTTGGCCCAGTCACAGTAAGTGGGCACTTGAATCCCTTCAGGACTGGACACCTTTCCCAGGGCCATAACCCCTTTGCACCAGCAGCCCTGCGACACGTGAGCCGATCTCTCCAAGTCAGGAATCCACTGCTGTTGAGCACCCTGGAGTGTCCTGCTGCAACTGCCACCCTAAGACCCCACGCTACCGCAGGCTGACACTGTAAACCGTGTTTGCCAAATCGATGCAGATAAAAGACACACAAGGCCACAGTCGAGCGGTGCTGGCAGGCCTCCTCTCTATACAATTCCTACTGCTAAAACGAAGCCATGTTAAACAGTGAGCTAATGGGGTGGCCATCTGGGGTACATGCTTATAAGAAATGCTGAAAGACCCCCAGAATAAAGTGGAAGTAGGGACCCAATTATTCCAGTTTTCCATAAGCTGCTTCTACCATAACTAATAAAATGTGAGTCTGCTCTTCTGTCAGGGAAGGTGGTATATTACGTGAGGGGGTGGGGAAGGGCTTAGTCCCCTCTGAAAGCTATGTCAGGGGCCCTGTTCGCACTGCCCAGCATGTCTGCAGCAAGGTGTGAAGAGGCCATGCCCGACCCTGGAACCAGCCCTTTGAGGGAACCTGAGCTTAGCAGGGCTAGGTCGGCCGGAGTTCTGAGTTCAAGTGAACCCGAGCATGAGCCTGTTTACTGAGAA